CATTTATTTCCATAAATATATCATTAAAGTTACGAATAATTGTTTTTAAATAATTATTCAGACGTATTTTGTTAATTTTATTAAAATCTGCAATATATGATTTAATTTTAAAAGCTAGGTAATATATTATTATAGAGTAATAGGTTAGGTGTAAAAGCATAACCATCTGTGTGTATGTTGAGAAAAATGTCCATAATAAAATATGAGGTATGACATAGGTCACTAAGTTTAATGAATTTACTTTGAGCATACACGCTGATGATATTATTATCATTAGTAATAAAAATATTAATTTAAGAACCGTTTCGGAAATAACTATACATTTGCGGCTAAATGTGAGTAACTTATAGACGATATGTCTGTCGTGAATACCAATACTAATGGGTGTTATTAAACCCGAAAGCATCCGAAATACACACAAATCCCGGGGTTTTATACCACGACTATAGTTATAGTAATTGAGTAGTTGTGTCAATAATATAACCAAACCAGTGACAATAATTAAAATAGACATCTGCACTCTAATGCCCATAATATAAGCCAGATCACCATAAATAGCATAGAAATAAACATCTTTTTCGGGAATCGCTAGAAATATAATTTGCTTCAAAAACATTACGAGAATAAAAATAAATAAAATATTTGGACTAAAAACTAGTCGTCTTTTCCCGGCATTCAATGGCTTATAGCGTGAGAGACCAATACTGTAGAGATGAGTGCCGGCCCTCGCAATCGCCATTGAGCTTGGTAATACTTCAGCACATTTAATTAAAATTTTAGGTTGGACTTTCATAGTTTCTAGAAATATTTTGTACCTAATACTAAAATACAAATAATTATATTTCAAATGTTTTATGTATCTACTGTACTTAACAACATTATAATTTATTATGAAAATCGATACTTTATTACACAATGTACAGTGTTATTGGCAAATAAATTAATTCAATAATTAGATATTTATGTTAGTTTATATAATTATACATTAATATATGTGTAATTATATATGTTAATTATACATTAGCATAATTAATTATCAATAGTTTTATTCAATATGTTATAATTGTTTAATATGAGATTATTATACATGTACATGTGTGACAGTACATTATACCAGAATTGTGGATCCGATTGAGTCAATACTTGTTTGCAGTGAATATTTTAAAGGTTAAAATTATCATGCTAATTATATTCATTGCTAATAACAATTACATTTTCACCCTACTAATTGAAGTTGGCTATCGAATGCCAAGTTGTATATTCCAATCGTTTCAGGGATGGACAGGGAGTTCATGAGATGGTCCACTCGGAGTTCATAATCAAGAATACCCTGAATATCGATGGTAAGACTAAACGTATTTATTGGATGAGCAAAAAGATATACAACTCGACGGTTATTAGTCTGTACTTTATTGGCTACGACGGCACCGGTAGGCAGCGACACCATTCATCTGAAGATACATTTCCGGACAGTCCGATCGCCACTAAAGATATAATCGGGGATTACATCTATTGGACAGACAGTAGAGACCATACGATTAGTCGCATGTATATGAAAAAGTTGTGGTACGAGGAACCGGTAGTTCATCTGGTCCTCCAATCGGGTGTCGATATAAATGCCTTTAAAATTATACACAAATCGTTTCAACCGGACGGTGCCAACAAATGCCGGACTCATACCTGTCCTGAAATATGTTTGCCGTCCAGTAGTGGTAATCACGGGAACTACTCGTGCGGTTGTCTATCGGACTATACATGGGATGGACTCATGTGTGAATATACCGGTCCATCAACGGCAACACCCCTTACCACTAACTAAACGCCTAATTATTTATATCCAGTCCTGTAGTGACTACTACTCCCATCCCGTTCCCCATTTTTCATGCAATGATTAAATAATAAATGTTTTTATAATTATTATTTTAAATCCTAATATACTGAATGAACTTAAAGTTACTAATTATATTATTAAAATCAGCAATGAATTATATAAAATAATTTACAAGCAAACATGTAATCAATGGATATGTTTTTTATTTGATTGACTAATTATATTTGAGTTTATAATATACAAAAAGATCAATCGATGAATAAAAATGAATGACTATTGATAAATAATTTGTGATGAATGTAAGCTAAGTTTGAAAACTTTTATTAGTTTGAATGAGTAAACTATGCTTTCAATGTAAAATTATTTATCAATAGTCATTCATTTTTATTTATCGATTGATCTTTTTGTATATTATACACTCATAAATGTAAGCTAAGTTTGAAAACTTTTATTAGTTTGAATGAGTAAACTATGCTTTCAATGTAAAATTATTTATCAATAGTCATTCATTTTTATTTATCGATTGATCTTTTTGTATATTATACACTCATTTATTTACATAAATTATTATTATCGACTGCACGTGCTTGATCAATTCAAATGACCGATATTGTCATATAGTTTGCGTTGATACGGATTACCCCAGCACAATTTATTGACACCTCACGATGAACACCATTTAAATAAATAAATAGGTAATTATTGTAAACATGAATAATATTTTTATTATAAACTATATAATTAATAGTGCAATTAAATTTAATTTCATTAATATACTTGTTAATTAATTTACATTATGTTAATACAATTATTTTAAAAATTAGATAAATTAATACAATAAATTTCTCACTAAATAATTTATAATTCTCTATAATAACATTGATACAAAATTTAATATCAAAAACTATTAACTAGGCTTTTATAGTAAAATTTTATTATAATTCAATACCAGCCTTATAATGATATTTTAATAATTTAATATAAAATAATCCAATAGTGCATATAATCTATAAAAGCATTAAAAAGATTTTAGATAATAACTAAGCATGGTAAACCGTACAAACCTTAAATCCCTGGAATCTATTAATACGGAATAGTTTCCAACAATAAAATCCATCCCTTTTCTGACCCAACCTTTCCATCAGTGATACTAACTATTGGTTTAAAATACAATATTTTAACTAAAAATACAATTAATATATAATTTATTTTATAATACCTTTATTTTAACATTGATTGAGCCAGTTTGTGTATCAAGTGTCAAAAAAGTGTTTAATTTTTTATATGAATTTATTGATTGCCTATTAAGTAGCGATGAATAGTGTATAATAAATACAAGGGTTAATAACAAACTGATAAATATAACAAACATAAGCAACTTGATTATAAATAAAACTTTAGCAAACATTGTTAAAAATAGCATAAAAATCAATAGTAAGACAACTAATATCCAATAAATGCCCAAATATTTAGACCAATAAATATTATTATAATAATTTATTTCCATAAATACGTCATTAAAGTTACGAACAATTGCTTGCAAATAATAATTCAGACGTACTTTCTTAATTTTATTAAAATCAGCAATGTAAGATTTAATTTTCAAAGTTAGGTAATATATTATGATAGCATAATAGGTCAGGTGTAAAAGCATAACCATCTGTATGTATGATGAGATATATGTCCATAATAATATATGAGGTATGAAATAGGTGACCATGTTTAACGAACTTATTTTGAGGATACATGTTGATGATATTATTATGATTGCCAATAAAAATATTAATTTACAAAACCTTTCGAAAATAACTATACATTTGCGGCTAAAGGTGAGTAACTTATAGACGATATGTTTGTCGTGAATACCAATACTAATGGGTGTTATTAAACCCGAAAGCATCGCAAATACTCGCAAATCCCGGGGTTTTTTACTACGACTATAGTTATAGTAATTGAGTAGTTGTGTGAATAACATAATCAACCCAGTGACTATAATTAAAATAGACATCTGCACTCTAATGCCCATAATATAAGCTAGGTCACCATAAATAGCGTAAAAATAAGGATCTTTTTCGGGAATCGCTAGCAATATAATTTGCTTCAAAAACATTACGAGATTAAAAATACATAAAATATTTGGACTAAAAACTAGTCGTCTTTTCCCGGCATTCAATGGCTTATAGCGTGAGAGACCAATACTGTAGAGATGAGTGCCGGCCCTCGCAATCACCAATGAGCTAGGTAATACTTTACTACACTTAATTGAAATATTAGGTTGGACTTTCATTGTTTCAAGACATAGCAACTATTTGTATACACAATACTAAAATGCAAATAATTATATTTCAAATGTTTTATATGTACTGTAAGTAAAAACATTATAATTATTATGAAAATCGATACTAGTGCAGTTTTACTGAAAAATAACTTTATTCAATAATTAGATATTAATGATAGTGTATATACGTTAACATAATTAATTACCAATAGTTTTATTCAATGTGTTATAATTGTTTAATATTAGATTAATATTCATGTTAATTACCTTATGTCCTTGATAACATACATCTCAAAAATTATCGACATTGTCCGGTAAATCATTTTAATACACTAAATATTTTCAAACAATTTTATAGTACGTCGGGACAAGCTCAAATATTTATTAATTATTTTTAAAAAATCTATTGTTATTGAAATTACTGTGCACTCAATCCAATTAATAGTGATAATATGTTAAAATAATCTATGATTTATTTAACTTTCAATAAACTATCACAGTGTATTACATTATAATGTCGTTTAACTTTCTAAGTGCAATTTTAGTTCAAATTTTTGTATTAATTATCTATGGTATTGATATTAAAAAAATTATTGCAAAACTTTTAAGGTTAATACCATTTCATGAGTTAATGAAATACAATACATTATCATAATAGCCACAATTATAAACACTGTATGTGTACTCAATAGTTTGGTACATTATAAGTTTATTATATATAAACAACCTTGAAAAAACATTCTTGTCTACTGGAAACATGCTATTATAAACGTTCAAGGTTAATTAAATAATTATTTGAAATAAAGTAGTATAAATACAAGTTAATGTACGGTACAAATTTATTAAACAAATAAACGCTCAACTGTAGTTAACGTCCTGTATATAACGGGAATGCCTATTGAATTATACTACTCGGCCCTAAGTGCCCCATGTAGGTCGGTGCTGATGGCCTTTAAGCAACTTAACCTGGATGTTAATATTAAGTTAATTGATCTTGGTAAGGGTGAGCAATTTAGCGAGGAATATTTAAAAGTAAGGTTACTTAAATTAATTTTTAAAATTAAAAATAACTTATATAAAATAAACTATTTTAAATGTAACTAGCTCAACCCAAACCACAAAGTGCCAACTATAGTGGATGATGATCTGGTACTCTGGGAAAGTAGGGCTATAATGCAATACCTGTGCAACAAATACGCCCCCAATAGTAGTCTATATCCGTCAAACCCAAAGGACAGAGCACTGGTAGATCGTTGGCTGTACACTGATATGCCTTATTTTGCTGCTAACATAGATGTTTTGGTATGACCAGGCTTAATATACATTAATAACCATGCTAATTAAATAATGTGCATAATATAGAGTGTACTTTCATATTTACAATAAGCAACATACTTGTATACATAAATACTGTATTTTCCCTTATCCATATTATTTACATTTTATGAATTTTAAATTCCTAGCTAATTAGTTTTATAATTAATTTCTATTTATTTTATTATTAAATTACAGGTAAATACAGCTCTTTTGGGTACAAAGCCGACTGACCAACAGATGGAGACGTATCGGAAAACTCTGAAACTAATCGACACATTAATCGGTGGCAATAAGTACGTTGCCGGTGGGGGTAACCTGACAATCGCTGACCTGTCCCTAACCGGTGTTACCTCGATGTTAGCTATCAATGAATATAAAGACCTGGATGAATATCCAAATTTAAAGACTTGGTATAATGGCATGCAATTAGAGTTGTCATACTTCCAGGATGTTAACGGCATGGTGTATGAATTGTACAAGCAAAATGCTAATAAATTCAAATCTATATAATTTAATAAAAAATTATATGATTAATTTAGAGAACCTGTATTCGTACTTGTAATTTTATTAATTTTTTAATAATATAAAATGTTTTATTTATAATTTTAATTTAATTATAAATTCAATTCATATTTGAATGAAGTCTACTTGAATATGTAATTACAGTTTTACTTATATTTTATTTATAAAGTCTGGATTGTTATTAGATTTATTTTAAATAGATATTTATATAATTTTAATTTCAAAATAAATCCTAATAGTAAACTATAACATATATGAAGCAAGATAATATGAATAAAACATTTGTCAAATCTTCATTAAATACGTGGTTGCAAACGCATCTTGCGACTACTCAAATATAATGTATGTATTTTCTATTAATAAGTTTTGAACCCTTT